AGAGTTTAGTGTGTTAAACTGATCTGTGGTCAGTCTTTAGAGTTTAGTGTGTTAAACTGATCTGTGGTCAGTCTTTAGAGTTTAGTGAGTTAAACTGATCTGTGGTCAGTCTTTATAGTTTACAGGGTTAAACTGATCGGTGGTCAGTCTTTAATGGGCTAAACTGATCTGTGGTCAGTATTTAGGGTTTAGTGTGTTAAACTGATCTGTGGTCAGTCTTTAGAGTTTAGTGTGTTAAACTGATCTGTGGTCAGTCTTTATAGTTTAGTGGGTTAAACTGATCTGTGGTCAGTCTTTATAGTTTACTGGGTTAAACTGATCTGTGGTCAGTCTTTAGAGTTTAGTGTGTTAAACTGATCTGTGGTCAGTCTTTAGGGTTTAGTGTGTTAAACTGATCTGTGGTCAGTCTTTAGAGTGTAGTGAGTTAAACTGATCTGTGGTCAGTACTTAGAGTTTAGTGAGTTAAACTGATCTGTGGTCAGTATTTAGGGTTTAGTGTGTTAAACTGATCAGTGGTCAGTCTTTAGAGTTTAGTGAGTTAAACTGATCTGTGGTCAGTCTTTAGAGTTTAGTGAGTTAAACTGATCTGTGGTCAGTCTTTATAGTTTACAGGGTTAAACTGATCTGTGGTCAGTCTTTCAATGGGCTAAACTGATCTGTGGTCAGTCTTTATAGTTTAGTGTGTTAAACTGATCTGTGGTCAGTCTTTAGAGTTCAGTGTGTTTAGTGTGTTAAACTGATCTGTGGTCAGTCTTTAGTGTGTTAAACTGATCTGTGGTCAGTCTTTAGAGTTTAGTGAGTTAAACTGATCTGTGGTCAGTCTTTAGAGTTTAGTGTGTTAAACTGATCTGTGGTCAGTCTTTAATGGGCTAAACTGATCTGTGGTCAGTCTTTATAGTTTACGGGGTTAAACTGATCTGTGGTCAGTCTTTATAGTTTAGTGGGTTAAACTGATCTGTGGTCAGTCTTTATAGTTTACGGGGTTAAACTGATCTGTGGTCAGTCTTTATAGTTTACAGGGTTAAACTGATCTGTGGTCAGTCTTTATAGTTTAGTGGGTTAAACTGATCTGTGGTCAGTCTTTAGAGTTTAGTGTGTTAAACTGATCTGTGGTCAGTCTTTAGAGTTTAGTGTGTTAAACTGATCTGTGGTCAGTCTTTAGCGTTTAGTGGGTGAAACTGATCTGTGGTCAGTCTTTAATGAGTTAAACGGATCTGTGGTCAGTCTTTAATGAGTTAAACGGATCTGTGGTCAGTCTTCAGTGTTTTTAGTCTGCGTTTGGCAGGTCAACAAATTGGCTCATTCGGAAATTCCTGCAATTACACTTCCATCCCTCCGGCTATCAGAACCCCCACACAGCACATTTACCGCGTCATCACTGTGAGTGTGTGTGTGTGTGTGTGCGTGCGTGTGTGTGTGTGCGTGCGTGCGTGTGTGTGTGTGTGTGTGTGTGTGTGTGTGTGTGTGTGTGTGTGTGTGTGTGTGTCAGAGCTCGGCCTTCAGTTCGTGACCCTGTTTAACTTGGGGAAAAATCCACCTCTACAGTAATGCTAATTTCTGCCAGCTCCTTGTTCTAATTTTCCCGTTCCTCCTTAAATTATGCCTGAGGGACCAGAATGTAACTGCTGGACCATTTAAGGTGGAACAGGAAAATTCGAAGAAGAACTTCAGCTTCACGACGTTTTTAGTGTTTCAGTTTCTCGTTGCAGATTAAACGTATCAGGAAACCAGCTGGAGTGATTATAAACACAAATCAGTCCATTCGTCTCCAAATTATCGATGTTCGTCTTAAATCTCTCTTTGTCGCTAGGCGAGACTGTTGTCTGCGTTGCTATGGTGACCAGCAGTCTGCTCTGATCTTCAGGGTTAAAGGGTGAATTACTGTAAAAGAGGATTACTGTATTTTTAATTCTGCTGTGGAGTCGAAACAGGGCAGTAAAAGAGCTGCACGTGGCTCCGGAGCGGCTGGTCTGGTTCTAATTAAAAACATTTTTTTAATTAAAGAGTTTGACGTGTAAACACCGCGTTGTGTTTGTGCTCATGGTGCCGCGTGTCTGTCTGTCTGCAGGTGGTGAAGACGATCGGGCTGAGGGAGGTCTGGTTTTTCGGACTGCAGTATCAGGACACCAAGGGCTTCCCCACCTGGCTCAAACTCAACAAGAAGGTGAGAGCTAACGCACTAGCACGCCAGCTGCCATACGGTATGATGCGCTGTACCGTTCCACTCACAGGTTCTAAACGTTCTCCCTCTTTCTCTCTGAGTGGAGCTGACACAACGGAAACTGGAACACCAATAAACTGTGATCTGCACTGAGACAGAGAGAGAGAGAGAGAGAGAGAGACAGAGAGAGAGAGAGAGAGAGAGAGAGAACGTGTGTGTGTTAGCATATTTGTAATTTCATCATGCAAAGGGTTCTTTGAGTGTTTACGATTCTATATAGAACTTCTTTACTAAAGAAGCCTTGAAGAACCCTAATTTTTCAGTGTGTACTATAAATACCCGACACCTCTTTACATATTCATACTCGTCAGTATATCTATATTCATATTAATGTTAATAAGCAGAGATGGACCGATCAGTGTTATTGGGGTTAATACCGATCGCCTTTCAGCACGATCGTCCGAGGACCGGCCCCCGTAGGTTCTACTGCACACTTGGAGAGGGAGGGGTATTCTTTAGGTTGCAGTCTGCAGCCTCACCACTAGGTGTCACTTAAGCCTTACACATTGCACCTTTAAAACACCGACTCTGTCTTCTTATTCATATTGAATAAAAAGGGCTTTTATTAAAGGCTCATCAACAGAAAAAACTATATTTTTGAGAGGTGCAGAAACAGTAATACGTGTGCGTTTCTCCTCTAACGATGAAGCAAAAATGAATGAAACAGCTTCGGCGTGGACGACAACATCGTGTAACGAAATCTGATCTGACAGATCACTCAGTCTGGTCATCAGAGGCCTGAAGCACACTCGCTCCCACGCCACCACACAGCGGTTTCACATATACATGTTGTTGCCATTCCACATGAAGAATTCGCACACAATACAGAATATAATGACATAACACAGCACTAAACATTTACAGAGCCGTGCATTTCTGCACACAGTAATGCTGAAAAAAGAGGTTTAAAGCTCTCAGTGACCTACAGCTCTGTGTTCACGTGGACGAGAGGCTAAAACCCAGAGAAATACCTAAAAACCCCCGAGCTGGACTGGGTGCGTCAGCGTACAAGCGGCCCTGATAACCGCGTAGGTCAGCTGAGCAGTTCAGACCGAGTTGCAGACTGCAGCTCAGGGCTGGGCGATTCATTTATTAGTGTATTTTCAATGATGATTTTGGCTTCCAGTCATTATGGAAACAAGACAATCGAGATAAATGATTATTGTGCCGCATTCCGTTCCGCAGTGATGCTCTCGCTTTGTCTTGTGTTATAAACCTTTACAGCAGTGCGCTTTCGTCCAAACTTATTTACTGTTTATTATATATATATATAAAAATATATTAATTATTTAGTATCTACTATTAATTCAGTACCAAATATGAATTATTCAGTATCTACTATAAATTATTGTCTTGTGTTATAAAGATTTCCTTCACAGCGGCACACTGCTCCAAGCTTATGTATTTATTTTTATTTAATATTTATATCTATATCCGCCCAATGGCAGCTGGGATAGGCTCCAGCTCCCCACCGCGACCCAGAAGGATAAGCGGTTTAGATGATGTATGTATGTATTTATATCTATATTTTAGTAATGGGGTGTGGAAGTGCCCTACAATATATTCGCTCTTATTTATTTTTATTTATTATATATTCAGTTAATGCATGATGTCTCCAAAGTTAATATCATGTTTAATAATCGTGATATCAATATTTATCAACCTGTCCGCTGAACTAAATCACAGTCATTAAACATCATTAAGCTCACTAATTGATGAATTGTTCAGTGTTATCGATAATGTCGATTAGCTGTTGCGGCCCTAATCGGCTTGTGATCGATCATCTTTGGAATCTTTTACCTTTGATTAATCAATACCCCCAGCTGACGCGTGTTTAGTGAGGTGAAAACGTCTGAAATCGTCACAGTCCTGAAGGTGCGCTGAGGGAAGGTGTTCAGACAGACGGTCCAGAGAGCGACAGACGGAGATGGAGGAGAGACGAAGCCCTAAGCTGTGTTTTTCTCTGTTTCCTAGGTGACGGCGCAGGACGTGCGTAAGGAGAGTCCCCTGCTGTTCAAGTTCAGAGCGAAGTTCTACCCCGAGGACGTGTCTGAGGAGCTGATTCAGGAGGCCACACAGAGACTCTTCTTCCTGCAGGTGTGTAGATGCAGCGAAATGAAGAAAACGCTGATCTATTACTGCTTCATCACTGTGATAATGGACTGGGGCTGGGGTGAAGGTTCTGCTCCCCCTGGTGGCTTCAGATAGATCTACACTGCCTGATCAACAGCATTTATAAATAAGTAGATTCTACATCACATGTTAATCCATCACTCGCATGACTGTTAGTGTCACAGTGGACACTAAACGTGTAGTAATTACTGAGTGATTAATAGCGGCTCATGGAAGTTATTATTCTAAGATTTCATCTGTGTTTATAAGCATTCTGTTTAATCCCTTAAACTGCAGGCGTATTAATTAATTATTAATTAAAGTACCTGTTACTCTGTATCTGCTATCAATTATTCAGTATCTACTGTAGATTATTCAGTATATGCTACAAATTATTCAGTGTCTACAATGAACTACTTAGTAAGTACTATGAAATATCAAGTACTATAAATTATTCAGTTATCTACTATGAATTAGTCAGTAGTTGCTATTCTTAAATATCTATAAAAATATTTAGTATCTACTATGAATTATTTAGAAACTACTAATAAATATTCAGTGTATATTAATAAAAATGTATCAGAGTATGAATTATTTGGTAACTACTAATAAATATTCAGTGTCTGTTAATAAAATTGTATATACAATTAATTATTCAGTAACTACTAATAAATATTAAGTATATACTATGACTTGTTTAGTATGTGCTATGAATTATTCAGTATCTGCTATGAATTATTCAGTAACCACTATGAATTATTCAGTAACAACTATGAATTATTCAGTATCTACTATCTATGAATTATTCAGTATCTACTATGAATTAGTCAGTAGTTGCTATTCTTAAATATCTATAAAAATATTTAGTATCTACTATGAATTATTCAGTATCTACTATGAATTATTCAGTATCTACTATGAATTATTCAGTATCTACTATGAATTAGTCAGTAGTTGCTATTCTTAAATATCTATAAAATATTCAGTATCTACTATGTATCTACTATGAATGTATCTACTGATAGTCAGTAGTGCTATCTAAATATCTACTATGATTTTCAGTATCTACTATGATATCATACTATAAATAGTATCTACAGTAGTCATGCTTAAAATCTATATTTGTACTACTAGATTCAAATAAATATTCAGTGTCTATTAATAAAAAAATGTATATACAATTAATTATTCAGTAACTACTAATAAATATTAAGCATATACTATGACTTAATTAGTTTGAATTCTTCAGTATCTACTATGAATTAGTCAGTAACCACTATGAATTATTTATGTACTATGAATTATTCATTATCAACTGTGAAATATTCAGTACATCCTATGAATTATTAGTATTTTCTATGAATTATTGAGTAACTACTAATAATCATTTCGTTACTATGAATTATTCAGTAACAACTATACATTATTTAGTATCTACTATGAATTGTTCTGTACAGAAAGTATCCTAGTGCACTTTCAGGCAGCGTTGTGTGTGTTTGTGAGTGAACGTGTATCTGTGCGTGTTCCAGGTGAAGGAGGCGATCCTGAATGATGATATTTACTGTCCTCCTGAGACTGCAGTGTTATTGGCCTCCTACGCTGTTCAGGCCAAATACGCTGATTACAACAAAGACGCCCACACACCTGGATACCTGTCCAACGACAAGCTGCTGCCTCAGAGGTCAGTCTGAGTGTCAGAGCTGCAGGTTTATTGATTGTTGTGATGATTTCATTGTTCACCAACCTTCGAGACTAGTTTCTTTATTTTCATGACTCAGAGCTTTAACATTTTCCAACATACAGTAATCATTTTAATATGTTTCAGGCCGGCCTTTAACTCATTAATGTGCATATCTGAGCTTGCCTTTTTAAAAAAATGAGTTTTTATCACCTAATTTATCACTAAATTTAGTCTGTTGGTCACATGGGCGCTGATTTTTAACAAAATAATCGCAAATCCTAATTTGATTGTGAATAAAAGTATGAAAATGTACATTTACATACCAACATACCTAAAAGTTTTAAGCATTTGAACTTTATCCTATAAAAAATTAGCTGTTAGACGTGAACAGGTTAACCATGTCTCATCAGGGCTCTCCTGAGCGTTTGTACTTTATTGCAAGGCATCTTGCACTTACAATGAAATCAAAATAAGATCGTTTGTCCATTTCCTGCAGCCCCAGAGTTCATGTGTGTAACACTGTGTTGTGTTTGCAGAGTTCTGGAGCAGCACAAGCTGAATAAGGAGCAGTGGGAGGAGAGGATTCAGGTGTGGCACGAGGAGCACAAGGGCATGCTCAGGTACAAACACATACACACATCAACATACTCAGTATCAGGGCTGGACGGAGACAAGGCAGGTTTATTTACAGAGCACCTTTAACACACTGCGGTCATTCAAAGTGCCTTGCAATTGAGAAAATACCAACACAAAGTTCTACAAAGAAAATTCAAATGAAAATGTAAAAAGATGATTATTAAAATGATTATCACAGTAGATTTTAAAACAGAAGAATTATTAAAGGTTGAGTAATCAGATAATGGGGAAACTCCTGGTCTACATGAGTCAGACAGTAATCAGATTTCTGCTTTACAACCAGCCAATAAACTCACAGAAGAAGTCGAGACGTAAACGTAACGTAAAACTCAAACTTGCTGCGGCTTTTTGTTAAACATCACATCACTTTACCTGAAAATATAAACACACATCATCTAGAAGACGAAGAATACTTAAATCTTTTATTTCGTCAAGTGTGTATTTGGTTTCAGCGTCGCACCAAAAGTGTTTTGCTGCGTCTCGCGGCGACGCTGCTCGCTTATTTCCGATACCGCTGTCTGTTTTCACACATGCTCAGACTGAGAAATGCGAAAGAAATCAGAGTAAGAGTTTACAGCACTGCGAAATCTGATTACTGAGCTAAAATCCAGAGTCTTTATCAGATTTCTTAATCGGATTTCTAGATCTTGATTATGATCAGATTATTGAGCGCATGTAAACACACTTACTGATTAAACTGGGCTGAAAGCTGCTCTAACAGGAACGTTTTCAGGCCAGATTTAAAGTGTCCAGTTTCGGGGCTCTTCTAATGCTCTGTGTTAACTGGGTCCATTTAAGAGCAGCACAGTATCTAAACGCTGCTCCTCCATGTTTAGTCTTCAGGACTGACTGACCAGTTCCTAATGATCTGAGAGTTCTGCTCGGCTCATGTCGCTGCAGCAGATCAGATAAATACGCTGCTCCTGCACCATTAAGACATTTATAGAGCAGTAACAGCTCCTTAAAGTCTGATCTGGAACAGACTGGTATCCAGTGTGAGGATTTAAGGCAAAGAACGAAACTTCTGTATTTGAGTGAAAGCAGATATTTAAGCAGTGTTCACGTTATAGCAGCAAAAAATGTGCACCGCTTTGTTCGGTGGTGAGATTCGGCTACTCCAGGGCTCAAGGCAACGGACCACTCATCATAGAATTAAAACAAATATGCCAGAAAAACTCAAATTTGCTGGGAGCAGGAAAAAAAAATCATTTTTTTTTTCAAATATGAATTGTAACTACATCCTACTCCTAGTCAGTGCTTATAAGCAATTCCTCCATCACTATTAACACTAATAAAGATACTAATAATCAACATTAGTAGTATTATTATTTTTAGGAGTAGTAGTAATAATAATAATACTAATAAGCTTCATTTATATAGCACCTCTCATACTTTAGAAATGCAGCTCAATACAAAGTAAAAGCATGAGAGAAAAAAAATAAAATAAGTAAAATAAATAATATGCAAAAAATAAAAGCAATAAGAGAAGAGGATATATTAATAATATTTAAATAAAAATTCAAATGTACAAGATAAAATCGTAAATAAAAATCCAATAAAAATATGATTAACAAGAAAGTAAAAGTAATATCCCAGTAAAAAAACAAGGGCAAAAATAGTTCAATGCCAAAGTTAAATAATATGTTTTTAGCTATTTTTTTTTTAAATCAGTGACAAATGTTTATTGGTAATTTGTTCCATATAAACAGCTCTTTTTAATTTTCATACGTGGAAAATGGAGAAGCAGCACTAGATGATCATGAGCTCGATTTGGAACAACATCCATCAGCATTCAGAGATGTGTGAAGGTGTTAAAGCATTAAGAGACTTAAAAACTAGCAGTAAAATTTTAAGGTGGGTTCTGAAGGAAGCGGGTAGCCAGTGGGGCGATGCTAAAACTGCTCCTATATGATCTTGTTTGCTGGTCTGTAGTATAAACCCATAAAGTGTTTAATAAATATTTAATTTAATATTTATGAGACTCTTGTTGCTCCCTCTGAGCGTGCTGAATGCAGATTTATTCTGTGAAAGTTTACCTGGTTTGTTTGTGTCTGTGTTTCAGAGAGGACTCCATGATGGAGTATCTGAAGATCGCTCAGGATCTGGAGATGTATGGAGTGAACTACTTCAGCATTAAGAATAAGAAAGGAACCGAGCTGTGGCTGGGCGTGGACGCTCTGGGCCTCAACATCTACGAACAGAACGACAAGTATGAACTCCGTTCTCGCTCTTTAGCACCTTCATATCTTCATAAACTCTCCATTAAAGGCTCCTCATATAACATGATCCTCATATGTTTCATATCAAAATGCTCCGTTTTCTTCATCACTACTTTCCAAAACCGCTGCAGCAGCTTCACCAGCTGTAAACTCTCTGCAGGCCATTTCACATGAGTCTCCAATGTGGACTGAATGAAGAATGAAGGGTTTCCGGCGTGATGGTCAGTCCTTAGTGATTTCCTGAGTGTCCATTGGTCAGTTTCACACAGAATGTAGACGGACACACGAATCCAGCAGTTCCACACAGTGAGAGGCAGATGACGTGTATCTCAGCCCCTCTTCATAGGCTCATAACTCCGGATGTGAGTCTCGTAGGATCTCGTGATTAGATGGAATGGAAAGGGCGACTCTACAGATTCAGGAAATGATTGAAGTGGATTTCGGTGCTGGATCATCATAAAGATACAGACACAGATATAGATAACGGAGAATTTGATGCTCATGGACCCCAGAGAGTTATTTGCCTGAACCTTAGCAGCTCCTGTGTGGAGCGGTCCACCGCAGAGCGCATGCATTCCTGAAACGGAGAGCATCACACACTTAATGTCAGTTTGTCTCAGAATTCCTCGTCTTGTTGTCGTGAGGCGCTCGGACTAGACGACAGAGCAAAGATAGAGAATTACACACATAACGAGTTCGGGCTACGAATAAGAACTCAAACTCCCAGATCTCCTCAGATCACACAACACAGAGCTGAACTCACTTGACCTGTTTGTGCTTTTATGCACAGCGAAAGCTCAAACTGCGGATGAATCTGTGGTGAGAAGTGCTGATTCAGTGAGAGCTGGAGAAACATTTCACTACAAACTGGCAGCTGAGCTGAACTATAGGATTTGCTTTGACGACTGGATCAACATTATTATCATGATATCGACTCTTATTTGCCTCTGTTTTACACTCAGCTCCTCTGTCTCTGCTCTGCTGGTCAGTCGTCTCTTCGCCTGTTTCTCTGTTCTTCCAGCTCCCTGATTGGCTGTTATTTGAATCTTTCACTGAGTTCGTCTCTGACCGTCTCTCACTGCAGGACTCGAGAACGTTTTGAGAAATATGACGCGTTCGATAATATCGGAGAACCTCTGATCACCTCAGAGTTCGATCGGAGGACCAAAGATTCACTCGTGTCTGCTCTCGCGCCGTCAGTCACTTCCGATCAAGCGCCCGATCTGGAAAATGACTTCAGATTGTAGAAATTTGTCGCAAGGGGTGAATTAGGGCTAAAACCGGGCAAAAACACGTGTAGTGACCCGGCTTTACGCAGATACCAAGAACAAAAGGAAAGACGCTACAACACGGTTCTACTCCAGGTTTATAGCCAGACTAAACAATTACTCAGACACATTGTGTTTGTTATGCTCAAACGCCTTAAAGAATGTGTTTGCATGGCTCACTGATGAGCTCTAGCAGTTAATCTGCCGAAGGCGAGCGCGTTACGCTCCTCACAGTCGCCTCCTCCTCTTCTGCCGTAAGTGGACGCTTGTGTAAAGTAGGTGTGACGCACATCCAAGCGTCGGGTCGAAGTTGGTGAAACAAAAGGAACTGAGACTGGTCCAGGGGTCACATTAGGGGCCACATTACACTCAGTCCAATGTCAAGAGGGTCAGAGTTTATTAGGCCAATGACACGTCAACATAAATGGGTTTATCATCGTTTAAGGTACAGATGAACAAACTGAGCGAACAAATATCACCCACAAAACAGACCAGACAGTCGGGCTAAAGTTAGTCAGTGCAGCATTAGACAGCTGAGGATGTCTCGGATTTCACATGAGGTCTTTTAGCAGATCTCGGAGAACGCAGAGAGAATGCACAAATACGAAGGAGTTCATGTTAATCTTAGTCTGAGCTTTCAGCAGCTTCAGCAGCTCAGATAAGGAAAGCTAAAATGTATTTCAGGATATTTTGTCATTTTAACCAAATATATTTGAACATACTTTCATTTTAAAATGTATGAGGAAATATTACTCATAAAAATGTCCCATACAAAAATAAACGTATGTAAATATGTTTATCAAATCCATTTGAAAATGTATGAAAACAGCTGAAGTCCTGTCTGATGCTCTGTTTACTGTCTGATACCTTTAGAAATGAGTTTGTATTCCAGTATCTTCATTTTAAATCTGATCAAATGAGCCTTTAACAGGACAGAAGCGAGTGTTGTAGTATTGATACTCTGTGAAAATGCAGTTATGATCTGATATCTGGTTTATCTGAAGTACATTGTGTGTGAGAGTCTGACTGCAGACGTACCTGGTTAATGTGAAGTCAGTGCTGTTCACTCAGCTCATGTGTATTTAGTTCCGTCTGTAAGCTTTGATTAAAATACATACGACTGAAAAAATGACAAATACAAATAAATGCATTTAAAAATATATTTAACAATCATCAGGAATGTCTCTTGTGACGAATTTGTTGCCGCTGCTGTTCTCACTGCAGGAGTTTTTTATTCACTTATTGGAAGAAGTACTGCTTAGAGACAGTTGCTAGGCAGGGACCTGATTGAGCATTGTGTCAATCATTCTTCTGCAAGTTGTAGATAATAGTCCACACCCTTGACATCCCGGATCTACAAGTTCAGAGCAGAGAGCGATAGCAGTGCTTGTGTGCTGATAAAGTTGTTTATGGGTGGATTTTAACCTTGTGGGTTCCACAAACTCACCCGCACGTCAAATTCGTTTTCTCTATATCTGTGTCTGTATCTTTATGATGATGTGGCACAGAAATCCAGTTCAAACACTTCCTGAATCTGTAGAGTCGCCCTTTCCATTCCATCTTATCTCGAGATCATACGAGACGCACATCCGGAGTTATGAGCCTATGAAGAGGGGCTGAGATACACGTCATCTGCCTCTCACCGTGTGGAGCTGGAGGATTCGTGTGTCCGTCTACATTCTGTGCTAAACTGACAAATGGACACTCAGGAAGTCACTAAGGACTGACCATCACGCCGGAAACCCTTCATTCTTCATCCAGTCCACATCGGAGACTCGTGTGAAACGGCGCTCAGAGAGTTTACAGCTGCTGAAGCTGCTGCAGCAGTTGTGGAAAGTAGTGATGAAGATAACGGAGCCGTCTTCTAAAACTGTAGCCTTTACCCTTGTCTAGATCACTGTACTGGTTCTAGCACACTTATGTTGAAGCAAATCATTCGTGCAGCAATACTATGAAGCAGTATTCCGTTAGAAAGCTTGAACTCTCAGGATTCGATTCCTGCAAACCGTTTTATGATCCGTTATTCACAGCAGTTACGAACGTCTCATTTGCACCAAATGAGCAAACGCTAGCAAATCTGTGTGTCCTCACCTTCAAAGCCTCGCCGCCTCCACAGAGACACCATAATCCAAAACATGTGGTCTGATAACACGGCAAGAGTCAGAGATGAGTTTAGAGATATATGAGTCAGGCGGAAATAAACTCCTCCATTCTAAACTCTGTTACTCTGTGTGAGTATTTCGTACAGTTATTCTGAAATTAGTAGGAAACCTGAGAGTGTTACCTTTCAAATGGGACCAAGATCATGTCTGCAGCCCAAAGTATGCGGGAACAGCGCCCCCTTTTACTTTGGGTATGCTGTTTCAGGCTTAAATGGGGCCACAGTTAACAGGTTAAATATGTAATACACGTACAGTTTCTTAATATATAGAAATTTTCTCATATATATATATATATAGTTTCTTTATAGGCCTAAATGATCAGATGATCAGGGCAAAGAACATGTAGACCTTCTGTAAGCCTTTGCATTGTTATATTTAAACAAATAGAAAATAAAGCAGTATTTAATGACTAAGCACAGCTGTGTAAGTAGTAGCTTTAGCTTCATATACATATTTTCATGCCAGATGAGAAATATCAATGTTTTTTCTCCTGTGTCGTGTTCAGGATGACGCCGAAGATCGGCTTCCCCTGGAGCGAGATCAGAAACATCTCCTTCAACGACAAGAAGTTCGTCATCAAGCCCATCGATAAGAAAGCGCCGGTAGGTAACGTTCACCTCAAGTAAACTCAGTGCACTATATTGTTTAGTCAGCCCAAAGAAAGTGTCATGAAAGTCGACAAACTGCAGACTTTCTTAATTTCTCTCCCTCTTTATGGGCAACAAACGTAAACAAACATTACCGCATTGCAGGACTTTGTGTTCTACGCTCCTCGCCTGCGCATTAATAAGCGTATCCTGGCTCTGTGTATGGGCAACCACGAGCTCTACATGCGCCGCAGAAAACCAGACACCATCGAGGTTCAGCAGATGAAGGCCCAGGCCAAGGAGGAGAAGAACCACAAGAAGATGGAGAGGTGAGAGAGATCATTAAAAAATAAACCATCATATATTTCAGCTCAATTTTGTTTTGCAAAAAAAAAAAAATAATAATAAAATGCCAATAGTTCAGAACTGCAAGCAGATTTTGTGCACTGTACGGCTGAATACAGTGTCACCAATGTGAAACTCTTTTCTTATGAAGCACTAAAAGCTATTTGGCTGCTACTGGCGCCCGCTTGTGGAGGATTCATAGCCTGCAAAATGTGAGAGAGTTCCAGTTTTAAAAAACAGTGAATTACCTGAAAAGCTTTGTCTATTAGTGTTTGCAGTCAGGCTTCAAATATTGATCAATGTGTAATTTTTTCTAAATATAGACCTATAAATAATGAATCAACATACATTTCATTCCCTAAAAAGCTCAAGCTTTTTACCATACAGAGAGGCATTTTACACGCAGCACTGAGAGAATAATCATCATGTTTGACGCATTTTTACGGGCTGGTAGTTCAGGATAGAGCCGCTTTGAATTGTGCATGTGGGTGTTTTGTAACTGGTTGTTTATCTGAGTGAAGTACAGCATAATTAAGATAAATTTGCCAGTGGCTGACTGAAATATGGAATTAATAGAGGTAAATCTACTAGTTGCAGAGTTAAATATGGCATTAACTGGGGTAAATACGGTATAATTGAGGTAAATCTGCCAGCGACTGAGTAAAATACGGCATTAACTGGGCATTAACTGCGGTAAATCTGCCGGTGGCTGAGGGAAATAACCTTTTGTAAACTATTCATGGGCTTCAAGTGATTTAAATCTTTAGAGCTACTTAAAGGAACAGGCACTTAAGCCTCACATTGCTCATTGCTCCAGTGCAAAACTTGGAACACCAACCATAGTGGGTAAAAATTCTGATGGGTACATTCCCAAGCCCTGCACTTGACCAATTAGCATAGTGCTGATTGCATACTTACTTCATTATATGCTTTATAGATAAAGTGTGTCATACAATGTCAGAAACCACATAATCAATTCTGTGAGAGAATCAATTCTGCACAACTCCACACAGTGTGAGACACGTATGTGATTCAGGAAAGCAGTGCTAATTGGTGCAGAATAAACCTCCATTACTTGTAAGCTGCATTAGCCTCATTGCTCCAGTGCTGAAAACTCATAAAACAAAAATTTAAACACCAAACATAGTGGGTAAAAACTCTTATTGGACAGTTTTCCCTGGCTATTTGAAGATTTTATCAAAGACGTAATAATGAAATACTGAAAGTAATAGAAAAATGAAAAGATTAGTCCCTCTGAAGGCCTAGAAGGCCCTGAGAGTTCCTCTACTGCTAATACAGGGCACGCTACATACCCAGCTAGCTTATGCAGCCTGTAGAGTAGCCTGTATTGTACTGGATTCAGTCATTTTGACTCCAGATGTCTGGAATCAAGGCTGAGTTCGCCAATAACAGTGTAATTGTTTACAGCCAAACATCACGATGCGCAGCACCCGCACAGCTGTCTGTGAAGGCAGAGTGATGTTTTGTTTTGAGCGTGTGTGTGAAAGGCTGATATATGGTTCGCTGCATGTTTATATTTGCTATTGTTTCACGGCTGGACGTTTCACAATGCCTGGAAGAGCTCGCGCCCTTTCAAACGCACACATATATCATCGCTGTCAGAATCAAGATCTCCTAAACTTCACAGGAGAGGGAGAAAACCCTCTCAGCTCTGAATGGGAGTCAGTGGAACAGGATTTTCTTTTCAAGTCATTTTGGAGCATTTATAGTGCAGCTTAACACACTGAATAGAGGAGCTGGCATTCTCAAATTCTGTTAAAAATAATAACACACACACACACACATATATATATATATATATATATATATATATACACAGATATTTTTATTTAATATTTTAAGAAGTATGTGAATAAAGAGTGAATAAAATAATAAATAATTTGATCTGCACTTTTGAAATATGATGAATTCTGGATATTATTTTAGTCATTTTAGAATCATCCACAGCCCTGTTCATTATTATGGACACATCTGAAATTTCTGCATTTTTATTGACGGCTTTCTACTAATTATTTGAAAGCTATTTATATGTATAATAATATAATATAATTTTTAAGTAGATCTGACGAGCCACTTTTTACAGTATATATATATATGTGTGTGTGTGTGTGTGTGTGTGTGTGTGTGTGTGTGTGTATAATTTTCTTACATATGTAACTTTGGCAATATATGTTGTTGGAATGGGCTTTACACATACAAGAAATATCGGTAACACCTTCTATGAATGTCACCTTTGTAAGCATCTATAAAACACATTCATAATGTTATAATGCATTCATAAGGCATTATAAACATGGCTATAAATATTTATAAAAATGCATTACACATTATAGCCATGCTTATTATGTGTTATGAATTTTTAACATAATACATTATAAGTACTGATCATAACAAATTATAAGAGCTCATAAGTCGTATTTGTCCGCTCTAAGTAAAGTGAAGTGTACTGTACTAAAGCCTCCTCCAGTGTTCAGAGTGAGGCTTCAAGTTGAAGTATTTACTGAAGGATTTACTGAAACACTAAAACATTCACAGTAAAGCACATTACAGGCTTCAAATGTCAGAGTTTAAACTAGAGCTGCCATCAGTGTTTTACCCAATGTGGGAAAGGTAATGTTCACCACCGTTAGCTTGGTATTTGTCTTTACGCTCTCCAAGCTGGGACTGACTTCTTTGGCACTGACAGTATAACATGTTATTAAAACTATTTATAATGCATTATATTAACAATTCATAATGCATAATAAACATGGCTATAAAGTTTAATTCAGTGTAATTCATTTTTATAAATGTTTATAATCATGTTTGTAATGCTGTATGAAGGCAGTTATAAATGTTTTTATAGATGCTTACAAACGTGACATTCATAGAAAGTGTTACCGAAATATCAATGTGAAATTATGATTAATGTCACTTTTATCACTTTAATTAGAGAAATAAAAATGTATTTTCAGTTATACCTCAGCTGTTATTGTAAATAGCTATAATACTGTAATAGATACATGTATAGTTTAGTGCAGAAAAGGTTCTATATAGAACCTTGAACATTCAAACCTTTACTTGATTCAAGGGTTCTTTGGTTCTTCAGACTGATGGATAATGTCCTCTACAAAATAGAAAAGGGTTCTATATAGCAGCAAAAAGGGTTCTGCCTGTTGTAACAATAGCAGAACCCTCTTTGGTGCTATATAGAACGCTTTTCGAAAAGGTTGTATGTACGTTAATATGTACGTATATAAATGCTTATTACTCTCGTTCCACAGGGCAATGCTGGAGAACGAGAAGAAGAAGAGAGAGCAGGCGGAGAAAGAGAAGGAGAAGATCGAGAAGGAGAAGGAGGAGCTGATGGAGAGGCTGAGGCAGATCGAAGAGCAAACCAAGAAAGCACAGCAAGGTCTTCAGTCTCACTGTGTTCACTCCCTCCACTCCCTCCACTGTTCATATATCAGCGCATACGCGCATATCAACGATATCAGCATCATCCCAGAGTTCCCAAACGGTTCCGTTAAGCCCTCTGCGGGGACTGATGTGTATGTTTTTGGGTGTTGATGTAATTTGCGTGTGTGTTTGTGCGTGCAGAGCTGGAGGAGCAGACCCGCAGAGCTCTGGAGCTGGAGCAGGAGAGGAAGAAAGCGCATGAGGAAGCCGAGCGCCTGGAGAAGGAGCGGCGTCAGGCCGAGGAGGCTAAGCTGGCCCTGCTGCAGCAGTCTGAGAACCAGATGAAGAACCAGGAACACCTGGTCCGTTACCACGGCAACACACACACACACACACACACACACACACACACACACACACACACACACACACTTATACAGGCACACCTGAGACTTTACGTGGATTTAGAGGAAGTTCTGTGATGTTTTCCTCTGTTTACATTTAATGTTTACTTTAATATGCATTAGATATAATTACACAGGTCGTTCTCCATTTGGAATGAGAGTTCAGGTGGATGTATTTCTAAAAAAAATAATAAACTAAATAATCTTAATAAGTCCATTTACATCTCCTATTATCATATATGCACAAAGAAGCTTAATTCCAAACATATCTTACAGTCACTGGTGTTGTATGAATACGGTGTAACACCAGTGACGGTGACTCCAGTGACATTCTGGATAAAACTGAGGATTCTGTAAATTGGCTGACTCGTTGGTCGTCACATGACCTTGTGTATTTAAAATCAGTAATAAAACGATAATTTGGCATTATTTTGATAAATTTTAATTACCCAGCCATCAAAGCTCATAACACCGGTGACACATAGAAGTTCTGAGCTGCCTGATAAACAAAATTATTAATAAATTAATGAAATATAGTGAGCGAGTGTGACTCGCCTTCTCATGCCTCGAGACGCTTCCTCTCTGATGAGCCTCGACCCAAAGAAGCAGTTTAATAGAGCTGAAAATACTGTGTTAAAATTCAGAATAAGAGTCCTGATAGCACCAGTGACCAAAATCTCTGAGACAAATGAATTTTATTAAATAAAATACATATTTTTTAAATGTAGTAAAACGTTAATGATGTAAAAAAGTAAACACAAATCTGTTTTATACAAATTCCTGAGTTAAACCTCTTAAAAATACTGTTTTATATTAAAAATGTTGAAAGTTGGTTTAGTGACGAGCTGTTTTATAGATGCAGAGCGGCTATGAAACAGGATAAAGAAAGAAAAATCAGAGAATCATAAGAAAAAAGTCTTATTTAATCTTAGCTCGACTGTTTAATGTACATACTGACTTTTAGAGCTGGACCTGATATTTTCAGCATCTTTTTAAGCCCTGAGAGGTTTGTGACATGGTTTCCCCTCCAAATGGAGAACGACCCATATATATTTAAATAAGCGTTACGTAACACGACGTTGAAGATTATTAATAAGGATTTAAATTCCGAATTTTAATGATCCAACCGTTCCATTTCTGAACTTATCCTGAATGTTATTCAAATTAACCGAAATGTTGCTCACTTTGGCAACAGAAACCCACCCTTAACACTCACCATAGCAACCGAATCCACCCTGAATCTCGCCACAGCGACCGCATCACTTTTTTCACCCTTAACAGTCACAGTAGTGTGCTAGCAACACCCTCTGGGTTGCCGTGGCAACCACGCAACACAACACTCTGGTTTTCCATGGCAACGTCGCAGCCCCAGAAACCACACAGCAGCTCGGCGGGTGTTTGGAAAATGTGGACGCTCTGACGTTTCGGGTCTGTTTGTGTTTTCAGGCGACGGAGCTGGCAGAGCTCACCTCCAAGATCTCTCTGCTCGAGGACGCCAAGAAGAAGAAGGAGGACGAGGCACTGGAGTGGCAGCAGAAGGTGAAGAAAGGAAACATCCTTTCTCTTAAAAACATTCTTTCTTCGTCCGTCTCTGTCTCTTTACGTATTTCTGTGGGGAGATTATTATGGGGCTGAATTAGATTTCAATATTTTAAGATCTTTTTTGGCCAGAAGGCCTGATTTTGGATTAAAAGTTAAGGGAAAAAATGAGCCCAGTAAAAAACACCAGTGCTCAATGGATTATACATCTGTATGTTGCTGTATAGTGAGCTGAAAGGGGAACTCCATCGATTTTCCAAAATTTTCTGCATAATTAACTGGTTCTGATGTAAACAAAGCTGTTCAGAGTGGTTTGGTGTGAAACGCTCCGTTCTAGATAAACTTACCGAGTCAGAATCGTTCACAGTGGTGGTGATAGGAACCAGACGTCCACCTCTAAAAGCTCCCTCACAGATAGTTACTACATGAAATGGTTATGAATTCACTGCCTGATGACTGAGGCATGGTGGAGGGAAACATGCAGGGTGTTATGAGGCAAAATAGTCCCCCAAAGAAAACTTATTGTTTCAGATTTTCCACTATTTTCCCATCATCTACATTCCATATAAACTCAGAAGACCCTGTGTAGGTTCACTGATGGTTCTGGATAGTAAATAAAATGTCTATATTTGTGTTGTAGTCATGGCGACCCCTGGTTCCTATCACCACCATAAAGACATCTGAACCATTTCACACCAAACCACTCTGAATCACTCTGTTTACATCTCACACACTGGATTATACAGAAATTTTCTAAAGTTGGTGGAATTGCCCTTTACACTGTTTCACTATATAATCATATCAAGGTGTCTATTTAAACGGGCAACATTAAAAATGTCCACTTAAGAGACAAACTAGTTCTACAGTATTAATGTATAATGAAATTAAAGCCTTAAGTTGTGAACTCGTACTACGTCCTACAGACTTCAGTATTGAATAAAATAAAGGTTTTGTGTAAAGGGGAACTCCAACCAAAATTTAAAATGTACCTATCACTCCATCTGCTGTAAACCTGCCTACTCGTCTCCCACAGCGGTGACACGGGAGCTTTTAGAGTGTGATGTTCCCCTTTAAAGGACCCCCCCCCCCTTCCAATGATGTATCTTGAAGGTGGGAGGAGCTTTTTAAAACCAGCTAGCTGGCTAATGCAGTGAGAACATATATAGGTGGTAAAACACTCTGTCCTCTACACTCTCTCCCTCTCTCACCCTTCTTAATCTCTCTCTCTCTCCCTCTTTCCCCTCTCTCTTTCCTCTCTCCCCCTTCTCTTTTCTTTTCTCCCTCTCTCTCTCTCTCTCCCCCCTCTTTCCTGTCTCTCTCTCATCGCTCTCTTCCTCTCTCTCCTTCTCTTTCTCTCTCTCCCCTCTCCTCTCTCTTTCCTACCCTCTCTCTCTTTCTCTCTTCCCCTCTCCTCTCTCTCTCTCTGTCTCTCCCCCTTTTTTCCTCTCTCTCTCTCTCTCTCTCTCTTTTCCTTTCTCTCTCTCCCTCTCTCTAACCCCTGTCCTCTCTCTTTCCTCTCTCTCTCTCCCTCTCTCTCACTCTCTCTGTCCCCCCCTCTTTTTTCCTTTCTCTCTCTCTTTTTTTTCCTTTCTCTCTCTCCCTCTCTCTAACCCCTGTCCTCTCGCTTTCCTCTCGCTCTCTCTCTCTCTCTCTCTCCCGTCTCTCCCTCTTTTCCTTTCTCTCTCTCCCTCTCTCTAACCCCTGTCCTCTCGCTTTCCTCTCGCTCTCTGTCTCTCTTGCTTTCCTCTCTCTCTCCCTCTCTTCCCTCTTTTCCTTTCTCTCTCTCCCTTTCTCTAACCCCTGTCCTCTAGCTTTCCTCTCTCTCTCTCTCTCTCTCTCTCTCTCTGTGTGGTCTGTTTATAGAGGTCCAGAGCTGCAGTAGCCTTGGCCTTTCATTCAACCTCCTCCCTTTAACTGGTCTATTTTTTTCCTTTTCTTTTCGCTCGTTTGTTTGGAAGGGCGTGCTCCCTCGCTTGCTCCGCTGGGGAAATCCTGCAGCGCAGCCACTCAGAGAGCAGCCCGGCTCTGCGCTGAGTCTGATACCCGCGTCGGTGTGAATAGAGCTCCATTCAGCGCTTACATAATAGCAGGATTCGGCTCCTGTTCACCACAGACACCATCCCGGGAGAATTCCGCTGTTCCAGCAGCGGCGCTGGGACGTAGGCGGCCTGTTTTCCCCAAAATCGGCCACCGAGGGAGTAAAGACTTCAATACAGTATTGAAAAACAGTAAAAATTAGGGCGTGAATTGTAAAACTGAGGTCAATACACCCCTCAGTTCTTCAGAGCGTCACAGTAGCGAAAATACAGAACACCAGTATCAGATGCTAAATAGACAGAAGAAATAATAATAATGATAATAATAACAATACACTTAATCAGTTCAGCACTTTTCATACACAAAGTAGCTAAAAGAGTTTTTTCAGTCGAACAGTAAAGTAAAAGGACTTTTCCTGAAGTTTTCTCTCTCCACCTTTTACAGTGTGAAATATAGAAATTCAGGCATCAAATTAAACAAAACAGCACAGAGGAGCTGCTCAGCGTTAAAGATTTCTCTGTAAATTTCACTCATTCACTTGGAATTTCATTCTACAGCTTACAACGGCTTTTCAGGGGCAACTTTATTAAATGTTATGACTTTTTTCTCTAAATATTACGATTTTATTCTAAAAAACAACTTTATTCTAGAAATATTACAACTTTTTTTCTCAAAATATAATTTTATACTAAAAATATGTTATTCTCAAAATATTATGATTTTATTCTAAAAAACAACTTTATTCTAGAAATATTACTTTTTTTCTCAGAATATTACAATTTTATACTAAAAGTACAACTTTATTCTCAAAATATTATGATTTTATTATGTAATATTATGTGAATATTATGTAATATTAAAATATTACAATTTTATCCTAAATTACGATTTTAATCTCAAAATATTACGATTTTATTCTAAAAAACTCATTTTATTCTAGCAATATTATGACTTTCTCTCAAAATCAATTATTTTTAGTTTTTTTTAACAGTGACCCTAAAACACCCTCATAACAGTTGGATGGAAGCCTGGCTGCTGATCAAAACCAGGCAGTCTGGTTCACCAGACACGGAAATTATTCATTGTAAAAATTATTCTGAGGAGCTTATGCTACAGACACTCCCACACTAAAACGAATGGGATTTTGTTCTGAAGAGCTTAAAAATTTCAGTAGTTGTGATTTTATATGATTTTTTTGGTTTTTGCTCTTGGAGGACTTTTATTTTATTTTATTTTATTTTTTTCTATGCCAAACCAACCTGTGTAGTATAACTGAAGCTCTGTAGAAACAAGACATGTTTAACACGTTGCATCCCAATGACTGTCATGGTGTAATTCCACATCCGTCCTCTGGATGTCAGTATGTGCATGCAGTCGCATTGCAGTGAATGACCTGTGGGTGCTTTGCTTTGTTCAGCGGTTCTTCAGACTGATGGAGAACGTGCTGTAGATGGGTCTATTAATAAGATTTTCGAAAAGGGTTCTATTAAGTACCAAAAAGGGTTCTTCTAGTGTCTGTTGTCGGTGCTATATAGAACCCTTCTCTAAAACCACCCGTTTCTACATAGAACCATATAAAACACATTCTCATCATCTGAAAAAAACGTTTCCTGATGCAAAGAACCCTTCATTCATGCCAAAGGGCTCTTTGAGTGTTCATGGTTCTATATAGAACATTCAACAAGGGCTCACTTTCGGCACCAAAAAGGGTTCTTCTATTGTCTCAGTGTAGAAGGATTTCTGACCGTGTCGTTGTATTTCCTGTTGTGACTCTGGGCTGTGTGTCCTCTTTAGGCCACCGTAGCGAAGAAGGATTTCTGACCGTGTCCTTGTGTTTCCTGTTTGTGACTCTGGGCTGTGTGTCCTCTTAGGCACCGTAGCGTAGAAGGTTTCTGACGTGTCCCTTGTTGGTTTCCTGTTGTGACTCTGGCTGTGTGTCCTCTTTAGCCACCGTAGCAAGAAGGATTTCTGACCGTGTCGTGTTTTCCTGTTGTGACTCTGGGCTGTGTGTCCTCTTTAGGCCACCGTAGCGTAGAAGGATTTCTGACCGTGTCCTTGTGTTTCCTGTTGTGACTCTGGGCTGTGTGTCCTCTTTAGGCCACCGTAGCGTAGAAGGATTTCTGACCGTGTCGTTGTGTTTCCTGTTGTGACTCTGGGCTGTGTGTCCTCTTTAGGCCACCGTAGCGTAGAAGGATTTCTGACCGTGTCGTTGTATTTCCTGTTGTGACTCTGGGCTGTGTGTCCTCTTTAGGCCACCGTAGCGAAGAAGGATTTCTGACCGTGTCGTTGTGTTTCCTGTTGTGACTCTGGGCTGTGTGTCCTCTTTAGGCCACCGTAGCGTAGAGGGATTTCTGACCGTGTCCTTGTGTTTCCTGTTGTGACTCTGGGCTGTGTGTCCTCTTTAGGCCACCGTAGCGTTGAGGGATTTCTGACCGTGTCGTTGTGTTTCCTGTTGTGACTCTGGGCTGTGTGTCCTCTTTAGGCCACCGTAGCGTAGAAGGATTTCTGACCGTGTCGTTGTATTTCCTGTTGTGACTCTGGGCTGTGTGTCCTCTTTAGGCCACCGTAGCAAAGAAGGATTTCTGACCGTGTCGTTGTGTTTCCTGTTGTGACTCTGGGCTGTGTGTCCTCTTTAGGCCACCGTAGCGTTGAGGGATTTCTGACCGTGTCGTTGTGTTTCCTGTTGTGACTCTGGGCTGTGTGTCCTCTTTAGGCCACCGTAGCGTAGAGGGATTTCTGACCGTGTCCTTGTGTTTCCTGTTGTGACTCTGGGCTGTGTGTCCTCTTTAGGCCACCGTAGCAAAGAAGGATTTCTGACCGTGTCGTTGTGTTTCCTGTGTGACTCTGGGCTGTGTGTCCTCTTTAGGCCACCGTAGCGTAGAGGGATTTCTGACCGTGTCCTTGTGTTTCCTGTTGTGACTCTGGGCTGTGTGTCCTCTTTAGGCCACCGTAGCGTAGAGGGATTTCTGACCGTGTGGTTATGTTTCTTGTTGTGACTCTGGCTGTGTGTCCTCTTTAGGCCACTGTAGCGTAGAGGGATTTCTGACCGTGTGGTTATGTTTCCTGTTGTGACTCTGGGCTGTGTGTCCTCTTTAGGCCACCACGGTCCAGGAGGATCTGGAACGCACCAAGGAGGAGCTGAAGAATAAGGTGATGGCAGCTCACGTTCAGGAGCCGGTTCACGGGGAGAGCGACCACGACGAGAGCGACGAGAGCAGCGCCGAGGCCAGCGCCGAGCTGACCGCTGCCGCAGCCTACAAGGACCGCAGCGAGGAGGAGAGGATGACCGAGGCCGAGAAGAATGAACGAGTGCAGAAACACCTGCTGGTGAGAGAGAGAGAGAGAGAGACATACACACATTATGTACACAAACACAAACGTGTGCACACTTTATTAACTATTTCTCTCTCTCACTCGTTCTCTCTCTCTATCTCTCTCTCTATCTTCCTCTTATTTGTCTTTCTCTCCTTCTTTTTCTCTCCCTCTCTCTATGCTTTTTCCTTCCCTTCTTCGTCTGTCTTTTTTTTCTCTCCCTCATTCATACTCTATCCTCTTTCTCTCTTTCCTCCCTATCTTCTTATCTCTCTTTGTCTTCCTCTGCCTCTTCTCTCTCTCTCTGTTTTCCACTCTCACACCTTGTTCTCTTTTTCTCTTTCTCCCTTATCTCTGTCTCGCTGTATCCTCTTGCTCTCTCTCTTTCTTTTTCTTTCCCTTCCTCCTCTCTTCACTTTCTCTCTCTCTCACTCTTGCTCTCATCTTCTTTCTCTCTTTCCTCTCTCTCTCTGTCTCTCTCCCTCACGCTATCCTTGTTTCTCGCTCCGTCTTTTCTCTCCATGTCTTGTTCTTTCTCTCTCTCTCTCTCTCTCTCTCTCTCTCTCTTTCTTTCAGGCTCTGAGTTCAGAGCTGGCTAACGCTCGGGACGAGACGAAGAAGACCCAGAACGACATCATCCACGCGGAGAACGTGCGGGCGGGTCGGGATAAGTACAAGACTCTGCGGCAGATCCGCTCCGGAAACACCAAACAGCGCATCGACGAGTTCGAGTGCATGTAAAATCGCAAAAAAAATAATAAAAAAAGGGCCAGCAGGGGGCGCCACAGCCTGCCTCTCACCACCAGCCACCACACACCTGCACACAAAACAACAGTACCCACAATCCACTGCTTCAGCAGCACTGCCAGCCGAGAAGAGGCTAGAAATCACGGTGAAAACATGAGAAAACCCCGTTAGAGCTGGACTAGTTTTATCAGAGGGGGCTGTGTTATGTTTGATTGGCTGATTAGTTCAGACTGTAAAACTACACACACTGCAGATTCATACTGGATTAAAATCGCTCCACAATTATTACCGTCAGACTGTAAAACTACACACACTGCAGATTCATACTGGATTAAAATCGCTCCACAATTATTACAGTCAGACTGTAAAACTACACACACTGCAGATTCATACTGGATTAAAATCACTCCACAATTATTACCGTCAGACTGTAAAACTACACACACTGCAGATTCATACTGGATTAAAATCACTCCACAATTATTACCGTCAGACTGTAAAACTACACACACTGCAGATTCATACTGGATTAAAATCACAATTATTACAGTCAGACTGTAAAACTACACACACTGCAGATTCATACTGGATTAAAATCACAATTATTACCGTCAGACTGTAAAACTACACACACTGCAGATTCATACTGGATTAAAATCACAATTATTACTGTCAGACTGTAAAACTACACACACTGCAGATTCATACTGGATTAAAATCACTCCACAATTATTACCGTCAGACTGTAAAACTATACACTGCAGATTCATACTGGATTAAAATCACAATTATTACTGTTAGATTATAGAAACTACCCAGGCTGCAGATTCATACTGGATTAAAATTGTTCCACAATTACTATAAGACTAAAAAATTCACACTGGATATAATCGCTAATCACCTAAATCACAGAAACACCCTGAGTAAGACTAAATCCAGCTCTAATAGGCCTCAAATTGACACACCTTTCAGTGCAGTTCACATACAAAGATTATAGCGGCTACTGTATCTTTATAAGGGAGATTGTTTCTTTTTTTGTTTTTGTTTTTGTTTTTTTGGACCAATAATGTAGCTTTCTTTTATATGCATATAAATATATATCTCTATATATATTTTTGAAACGGTTTTAAGATTAGCTAAGTTGGACTTGTGTAGTTACACTGATTGATGCTTAAATTGTAGTTGAGAAAAAAAAAGCTGGGTCTTGATTTATGTAAATTAATGATGATTTTAAGGATTAATATTCTAATCACGTTGCCACGGCGCCCAGACCGAAGATGGAAAGCAATAACTCGCTTTTAACAGTGCCATTATATAAACTAAGTGCCATTACTGTCACGGTTTGACGTCAGTTTTGATACACATTCACCCAGTGACTTCATGATCACAGTGCAGTGCCAGTGTGACGAAGTGTGAAGGAGACTTTTTTTGGCCTTTCAGCATCAACACAGCACAGTTTAGTGTCTTCTGTGCACTGTGGGCCAAAAGGTGTGGAATTAAGCGCACTTAACTTTAGGAAAAATATCTTATAAATAAGTCAGTGGTGTTTATTACTGCACATACTACTGTTGCACACATTAAGAGCATTGATATGAAGATGCTCTTAAAAATAAATACACTGCAAAAAATGGTATCTTGTCAGTAAAATGATCTTAAATCCAGTCGATATATCTAATATTTTCCGTTTTTAGATGGTTGTGCACTTATTATAAGATTATCTATCTCATTTCCAGAATTTTTTACTGGTTTTAGGTCATTTTAATAAGTAAAATTATCTTAATTTACTGGCAGATAATTTTACTGGTCGTAAGCTCGTTTCTTACAACCAGCAAAATCATCTGCCAATATAGTGAGATAATTTTACTCGATAAAATTGCTCAAAACAAGTATAAAATGTCTAGTAACAAGGAGAAATATTAGATTTATTGACTATATTTAAGATAATTTTACTCGAAAAGATGCCATTTTTTTTTGCAGTGTACAACTTTCAAGTTTATTTTTACAACGTTTTCCAACGTTTTGGCCTGTGGGAAACACTAGACTGTGTACAGAAGCCCCCGAAAGTACGATTTTACACTTTAAACGCCAAATAATATTCGGGCCAGTTATAAATGATGAAGAAAACAGTCACTGAATGTCTGAACTCGGCAACTGCATTATCATAATAATAATAATACACTCTGCCCGTCAAAAGTTTGGGGACACCTTGCCTTAAACTCACTGTGACTTTTCATTTAATTGAGCTAAAAATCTGCACATGTTAAGCTTATCTGTTAATGTTTCTCTCTAAGTAAACACCAGATTAGGCTCTATATTACATGAAATTAGCTAATTAGCTCTATTTCAAAGTAAATTAGCTACTTTATATCACATTACATCAGCTGCTAAATCAAAGCATATGAAATCTATTTTAGGCTCTCTGTTAAAAATGGTACACAAACCAGTGCAGACGAGGTTCACGTTGCGTTTTTTGTGACGGCTGTGTTTGACTGCGTGTCTTGTTGCTAAGCAACAATAGCAGCTATGGTAGCTAGCCGTTGTTTCGATAAGCACAGGTAAAAGGTTCTCGCCCGTTTAGGAAGTGAGCTGTAATTAGAAAGTGTGGCGCTTCTAACAAAAACAAGGTAAATTAAGCTAAAAAAAAATTGTTTTGATTATTTCATGATGGTTTATGTCTAGTAAGTTGGCGAAAACTACCGTTAATCCCTCCTACGTTTCAAATTGGAAATAAGCGCCACAGAAAAAAGCCCCATAGCAGTAGCGGAACCCTTTACGGTGCTATACAGAGCAATTTTTTTGAAGGTTCTTTGAAGAACGTTCTTTTAAGTTTGTTGTTAATGGTGACAAAGATCCATTTGAGCCTTGAATAAGAATCTCACTTCACACACAAATCGATAACAGCCAATCAGAGGCCGCATGCAACAATTAAAAAAAAGCACAATGCATCTTTTATACTGTTTTATTTTGGCTTCGCTGGCTAACAAGTTTAAGGGAACATCACCAAATTATCCGAGTGGATCACCAGTGAGTCGCTCGGTTCCATAGAGTTAAGCACAGAAAGCACCATCGCCTTTAAGGACCCTTTTTAAGGCTGTAGGTGACCCCTAACTGGTGTTGGGCAGAAGATTGGCTCAATAATCGCCCCTGCTGACGCTCACCCGGTCTCCCTCGCTCGCGCAGGTTTGTGGACACTCCCTCTGTGTGCCCGCAAAAGAACGGATAAAATATCAAACTGTAATTGAATTTTCAATCTTAGTTTTTATCTTATTCTAATATTAAGCTTGTTTTTTTATTATTAAGAGATGCTGGAGGCTTCGTTTTGTTTTTTTTTCCCCGCCTCTGGAGACAGTTTGCAGTATTATTTTAAAAGAAATCTGTATTAGGAATAAAACACACTTAAGAGCTGAGTCGTCCTGTTTGTAGACCGTAGCTGATTCAGAGCAACATTTGCCAAGTATATGAGCTATTTTCGGATGGTATATCCAGAACCTTAAGGAGTGTCTCTAATGCCTTTACCGGTCCTCACAGCGACAGCTGCCTTAAAGCAATACGATCCTTTCCTGGTTCGCCTTTTTTAAGGAGTTCATTCTGTAGCTTTCGGATAATCATAACCATTTTTTTGACATGTAAAGGATAAAAGTCTGGAATCAGTTTAGCGCTCTCGTTAAATCTGAGAGTTTCTGTTCGCCTCTCCGCACGTCCCATGTGCCTTTTCTTTAGCCAATCAAGATCAAGGATAGCTGCTTAAAATGTCTTCATTTAAACTGTCAATAAAATACATGAAAAAGAGATTTGTGTTCTTTGTCTTTATTAAGGCGGCTTGACAAAGTCAGCAATGGCCTAGCAACACCTTAGCAACCACCTGGGATAACATAGCAATGGCCTTGCAACACCTTACAAACCACCTGGAATACCATAGCAATGGCCTCGCAACGCCTAAGCATTTACTTTGGATTCCATAGCAACAGCCAAACAACATATAAGCAACCACCTGGGATACTATAGCAGTGGCCTCACAACACCTTAGCAGATACATGGGATTCAATAGCAACTGCCAAGCAACATCATAGCAACCACTCAGGCTAACATAGCAACAGGCTAGTAACACCTTAGCAACCACCTGGGTGACAGCAACGGCCTAGCAACACCTTAGCATTTACTTTCTATTCCATAGCAACAGCCAAAGAACATCATAGCAACCACTGAGGAAAACAGCAACAGGCTAGTAACACCTTAACAATCACCTGGGATAACACAGCCGTGACCTAATAACACCTTAGCAACCACCTGAGGATAAACATGGCAACAGGCTAGCAACACTTTAGCAACCACCAGGGATACCGTAATAGTTATTTTAAATGTTCACACTCATTAAAGATGGTTCTTCAAGGGTTCTATTTGTGTATATGTATGCTTATATATATATACATAAAACCTGGGATAACATAGTGGCCTAGCAACACCTTAGCATTTACTTGGGATTCCATAGCAACATCCTCACAACACCTTAGCAACCAACTACGATACCATAGCAACAGCCTCGCAACACCTTAGCAACCAACTATGATACCATAGCAACATCCTCGCAACACCTTAGCAACCAACTACGATACCATAGCAACAGCCTCGCAACACCTTAGCAACCAACTATGATACCATAGCAACATCCTCGCAACACCTTAGCAACCAACTACGATATCATAGCAACATCCTCGCAACACCTTAGCAACCAACTATGATATCATAGCAACATCCTTGCAACACTTTTAGCAACCAAGTATACCATAGCAACATCCTCGCAATACCTTAGCAACCAACTACGATACCATAGCGACAGCCTCGCAACACCTTAGCAACCAACTACGATACCATAGCAACAGCCTCGCAACACCTCAGCAACCAACTATGATACCATAGCAACATCCTCGCAACACCTTAGCAACCAACTATGATATCATAGCAACATCCTTGCAACACTTTAGCAACCAACTATGATATCATAGCAACATCCTCGCAACCAACTATGATATCATAGCAACATCCTCGCAACACTTTAGCAACCAACTATGATATCATAGCAACATCCTCGCAACACCTTAGCAACCAACTATGATACTATAGCAACATCCTCGCAACACCTTAGCAACCAACTATGATATCATAGCAACATCCTTGCAACACCTTAGCAACCAACTATGATACCATAGCAACATCCTCGCAATACCTTAGCAATCAACTATGATACCATAGCAACAGCCTCGCAACACTTTAGCAACCAACTATGATACCATAGCAACAGCCTCGCAACACCTTAGCAACCAACTATGATAC